TGAACTTGCATCATCCTGCCTCAGCCTCCAGAGTTCTTGGGAGTAAAGGCATGCTCCACCACAGCAGCTTTCCTTTGCTTTTAAATTTGGTTTTCTTAGAAAGCTCTATTTCAGTATTAAACAGGGTTGTGAGTGTAGCTCTGTCCTAGCATGCCTCTGGGTTCAATTTCCCAGTACTACCAAAAAGAAAAGAAATAAAAATGGAAAACTCTTGCTTCTGGGCTGGGGTTGTGGCTCAGTGGTAGAGCGCTCACCTAGCACTTGCCTAGCAAGTGGGTTCAATCCTCAGCACCACATAAAAATATATAAAAATAAACCATATTGTGTCCAACTACAACTAAAAGTATGTATTTTTCTAATGTATTCTTGCTTCTAACCTTCCTACTGTCAGCATGACAACTAGTATTTCTTTTTCTTTTTTCTCTGCATACTATGTAATAATTAGTTTCTTCTGTGTGTGTGTGTGTGGGGGGTGCTGGGGATTGAACCCAGGTCCTTTTGCCTGGGAGGCAAGCACTGTACCAATTAACTGAGCTATATCCCCAGCCCTTCCTTTTTATTTTTTTCTACTACACAGGCTCTATGTTCTATTTATTTTTGGTGCTGAGAATTGAACCCTATGACCCTAGCTTGCTAATCAAGTGTTCACTCCCATGCTGCTCCTCCTTCCCCTACCAGACTCACTTTTTCCTTTTTTTACAGTATCTAACATCAAGCCCTCTATCACTGTGGTACAACCCCAGCCATTATTTTTGTGTGGTGCTAAGGATCAAACCCACTTGCTAGGCAAGTGCTCTACCTCTGAGCCACAACCCCAGCCCATAGCAATGGAAATATTTTTACTCTTTTGTGGCTACATAGTACTATGTAGGCATCACAATATACTTCTTATAAATGAACATTTGGATATATTTAATCGTTTGTTATAATAACCTTCAAAACATTATGTACATGTATATATATAAAATGCTTTTACATGTATTTTATTTATATAAAATACACTGTCAAATAGCGTACTACAGTGATACTGCCACATCGATGTTCATAGCAGCACAATTCACAATAGCTAGACTGTGGAACCAACCCCGGTGCCCCTCAATAGATGAATGGATAAAAAAAAAATGTGGCATTTATACACAATGGAGTACTATGCAGCACTAAGAAATGACAAAATCATGGAATTTGCAGGGAAATGGATGGCATTAGAGCAGATTATGCTAAGTGAAGCTAGGCAATCACTAAAAAACAAATGCCAAATGTCTTCTTTGATATAATGAGAGCAACTAAGAACAAAGCAGGGAGGAAGAGCAGGAGGAAAAGATTAAACAGAGTCATGAGGTGGGAGGGAAAGGGAGAGAAAAGGGAAATTGCATGGAAATGGAAGGAGACCCTCATTGTTATACAAAATTACATATAAGAGGTTGTGAGAGGAATGGGAAAAAATAAGGAGAGAAATGAATTATAGTAGATGGGGTAGAGAGAAGATGGGAGGGGAGGGGAGGGGGGATAGTAGAGGATAGGAAAGGTTACTATTATGGCACTATGTAAAAATGAGGATGTGTAACCGATGTGATTCTGCAATCTTCGTAATGTTTTGAATAACCAATAATAAAATAAAATACACTGTCATTATGTACAATTTTAACAGTACAATAAATCTTCAAATTTGAAATTGTTATGTTACAGGATAAATTGCAAAACTCAGGAACTTGAGATGTAGTTCAGTGTTAGAGTGCTCATGTAGTGTGCATGAGGCCCTGGGTTTCATCCTGTCACTGCCAATAAATAGTTTTACTTCTTTTGTTTTGTTTTATTTTTGTTTCTGGTACTCAGGATTGAACTCAGGTCCTCATGTATGTTGTAGAAGTTCTCTACCACTCAGCTACACTGAGTCTTCCTTTCAAAATTATTTTTCCATAATTAACTATTTTTTTCTTGTGGTATTGGGGCCTTGTACATGCTAGGCAAACACTCTTTATCACTAAGCTACAACCACAGTCCTCTCCTTTGTTGTTTTTGTTTTGTCTTTAATTTGAAGACAAGGTCTCCATAAATTGTCAACATCTCAAACTTTGAGATCCCTCCTGCCTCAGCCTTCCAATCACTGGGATTGAGTTATCATGCCAGGCCTAGATTATTAACCTGACCACACCTGAACTTGAATTCCCCACCCTACAGAGATATCATAGGCACCCAGTTGCAATATAAACAGCAGGTATCAGAAAAAGATTAACCATGTAAGTACACACATGCACACACATTTAATAGAATGCTTTTGTAATTCAGTGGTTGCTTTTGAGAAAACAGAAAAAGGAAATATAATTGGCTTCCACCAAAATGGAATCCACCGGCCTGTTTTCTATGTATGTATTACTTACTTATTTTGTGTATATCATAAGATATTGAATCCAGGGATGCTTTAACATGAAGCTGCTTCCCCAGCCATTTTTGTTTGTGGGGCCTAGGGCCTTGCTAGATTGTTTGGGCTGGCCTTAAACTTGGGGTCCTTGTCCCTCAACTTCCTGTAGCTCCTGTGCCATAGCAACCTGCTCAAAAAACTGTTTTCTAAGTCTTACTTTAATAGATGGCTGTGTCAAGGCATGTTTTCACATATTTACAGATCTATGGCACCTAGTGTTTTAAAGTGATGGAATAAACTTAGTAACAAAGTTCTGCTGTTTTTAATTAAGCTCATTAATTAATATGAATTTGTTATGAAGATCTTCTGGTACATAATTCTTAAAAGGACTTCAATATATCATTGTTGGGCAATGTATCCTCAGTGTACTTAGATATGCATATCTGTAAAAAAGAAAAATGAAACTCCCCATTTTCAGTTCCATTTTCCAGTGATATAAGTAGTGTTAGCATTTTTGGTTTTATCTTACTGGTGTTTCATCTGGGCTAGATAAATGTTCATGGGTCTCACAAGAAAAGGGATGATAACATCAAACTGCACTTGTTTATTTGATTACTGTTACCTTGTAGGTGTCAAACCCCATGCTACCCCTACCACCTTGAGTTGGTGATCAAAGCCAGGGTCTTATCTAGTGTGCCAGCCAAGTACTCTTACCACTGAGCTATATCCTCAGCCTATTAATTTTATATGTATTGCGGAGGACTATCTTTCCTTACTCATCTTTGTGTTTGTAGGTGTTGTAAATTTTACACGAAATTCACATTTTTATTTCCATAAGTAGTTTTACTGGAATAGAGCCACATTTTTTTTTTCTCCCAAATTATCTGGCTATTTTTCCCCCCATTATAACAGGAGTAGTTGTAATGGAGATGTATAGGCTATAAAGTCCAAAATGTTTATTCTCTATCCTTGACAGGAAAAGTTTTCCGAACTCTGATATAAGCCATGTCTATTTTGGCAAACTGACCATCTGTTTATCCTGAAACCTCTTTCCTTTTTAACAAATACCTTTGTTTCAAAACAATTGTAGTGCTTGGAGCAGTGGTGCATGCCAGTAATCCCATTGACTCTGGAAGGCTGAGGCAGGAAGATCACAAGTTCAAAGCTAGCCTTAGTGAGACCCTATCTAAAAACAAAAAATAAGAAGGGCTTTGATATGCCTCAGTGGTAAAGTGCCTCTGAGTTCAATACCCAGTACCTCTGTGTGTGTATGTTTGTGTTTGATGCTTATTTGGACTAGAATTCATATATATATATATATATATAATCTTGTATTCTATGAAGTTGGAATCAAAATTTCCTCTAGTATTGAGAAAGAGATAACTTTTGCTAGGCATGGTGGTTCAATCTGTAATACCACATATACCAAAAAACCCCAGATATTTTTAACTCTAGATATACCCAAGTCTGTTAATTTATCAACTACACAGTGCATTTGCTCAGTGGTTAATTTTTTAAAAATTTATTTTACATTGCTGAATATGGAACTCAGGGTTTCTGAAATGCTAAATAGTTTATGTATGTTGTATTGAGTAATAAATTGTTAGTGTAGAAATTACGGTAGTGAGAATATAACAAGGTAGATGTATCTCAAAAGCGTAATGTAAACTTTGAAAATAAGCATAAGAAATCTATGATGTGCTGGGTTCAGTGGCACATGCTTGTAATCCCAGAAGTTTGGGAGGTTGAGGTAGGACGATCTCCAGTTCAAGGCCAGCCTCAGCAATTTAATGAGGTCCTAAGCAACTTAGTGAGACCCTGTCTCAGAATACAGAATGAAAAGGAAAGGGGTGTAATTCAGAGTCAAAGAATCCGTGTTTCACTCCCCAGTACCAAGAAAGAAAAGAAAGAAGTCTATGATCTTACTTATCTGGACAATATTTATCTGTTGAAGGCTGATTGAAGACAGGACAGAGGAGTTTCTTGCTTAAGAACTGGGTACATCACTATTCATTTTGTGAAAATTCAACAATTAGGATTTGTATTGTTTTTGTATGTAAGGTTTTTGTCAATTCAATTAGCATTTAAATGATTGATATTGCCCATTGAATGAAGCCAATATTAAATATTTTATAACTACATATGGAAAAAGGAATGGATGTTTGTTTAAAAAACATGTGATTTTGAGCAGTGTGTGGTAGCACATACCTAGAATCCCAGCACCTCAGGAGATTGAGGCAGGAGGTTTGAAAGTTCAAAGTAACAAAGATTTGTTGAGGACAACAACCATTTGAGACTCTGTCTGAAAATTGAAAATAAAAAGGGATTGAGATTCGGCTCAGTTGTTAAGTGCCTCTGGGTTTAATCCATGGTACCAAAAAGAGAAAAGAAAAGAGACATGAAGTTTTGACATTAATCTGCATGATAGTATGATAGTTTCTAATTTTTTTTTCTCTCATCCTGTATTCTACTTTTTGGTATTTTATGACTTATCTGAATGTATGAAAGGCAGAAATAATAATCTTTTAGGTTATATCCATAGAGACTTCACATTTCGTTGATATTAAATTATAAAGTTCCTTTTGCTGTAACTTTGATATTTAAGTAGTTAATACGGGTAATTTCTGTATTTATTTTACAGGTAGATTTTGACAACAAATCAGTAAATGGCCCCAAGTCAGAATCCATGGAATACAGCAGATGTGGTTATGGGGAAGAAAACAGTTTGGAATTGAACAGACATCCCCTTGAAAATGTAACTAAAAATGAAGAAAGCATGACAGGTATCAAGGTGGACAGGTGGACACAAAATAAGAAAATACATTTAACAGATCAGGTCAATGGAGAAAGTGTAACAGAGGCTGAAAAATCAAAAAACTCTGATGATGATAAGGAAGAAATTAAACCTCCTAAGTTGTTTGTACCAACAATAAGTAATGGCATTACAAATGTACAGTGTTTACCAAGTGAAACAAATGTGTCATTTAACAAATTTAATATTGAAGAATTTGATAAGTCATTGGAAAACAATCCCTGTAAATTTTTGAAAGATACTGCCAATCATAACAATGCCATGAGCTCTATTCCTTCTAGTGCAAGTGGTGGTCATCTCAAGGGGAAGAGTCACATGTTACCCTTCTCACAGCCTGGCTTTAACTGCATACTCGTTGAAAATTCTGCAAACTTAAATAGTCATACTAATGCACACAATGAAGGAGATCAACCAAAACCTCCTGAGAACATACCAAGTAAAGAAACAAAAGATGGGTCTCCAGTTACATCATGTATTTTATCCATGATGCAAGATAGGAATTTAACTATAGAACAATTGGTCGCCATAGAGGCCCTCACACAACTGTCAGGAACCCCATCAGAGAATTCTTCACCATCGAAGTCAGAGAAGGATGAAGAAACAGATCAGACAACACCTTGTTTCCGTAATAGTTACAAAGTTATCCTCTATTCTGTAACAAAAGACCTCCATGACCCAAACTCACCAGCCCTTCATAACTGTCCACCTCTCCAAAAGGAAAGTTCTTGCAACACAGTAGTGTTCAATGGCCAAAATACCATGTCCAAGTCACAGCACAGCTCAGCCACGAACCAAGCATCTGAAGAACCACATGAACATTCAAAAGTATCAAATTCGGACTCCCTTTTTTCCCCAAAATCAAATTCATCTAATATTGATACCAATAAAAGTGCATTGGAAGGCAGAACTAGTCTTAATGACTTGCCTCACTTGTCGCCAAGAAGTAATAAATTGGAGCAATCTAACCAGTTATTGGACAGTAATAAAAGTTTAAATTCAAAAGGTGATCCATCAAGTCAAGATGTATCCTACAGTCAAATTGAAGAAGATGTTGCAACACAATTAACACAACTTGCATCAATCATTAATTTCAACTATGTAAAACCAGAGGAAAAGAATATTGAAAGTACCCCAACAAGCATTGTTCCATATAATGTGCAGCAAAAAATTAGTCAGGAGAAGGGCACAATTCAACAGAAACCACCACCAAGTGTGCAAAATAATCAAGCTCCATCGTTACCAAAGCGAAAGAACACAACCCAGAAAAAGACAAAATCTATCCCATCAAAAGATCGTCGGAAAAAGAGGCCTTTAGCTATAAACTGTCAAGAAAACAAGCAGAAGCAGCAGGAGCAGTTGTCCTATGAATATAGTAAGTTACATGATATTTGGGTAGCATCCAAATTTCAAAGATTTGGTCAATTTGGGTCACATGATTTTCCTATTCTGCTGGGGAAAATTCCTCATTTTGGGAAAGTACTCAAACCACTGACTCAAGCCAGTTTATCCCTACATCAGAAAAAATTATTTCCTCCACTCACTCAGATAAAATTTGAGAGAGACACTGAATCAGTACAGCAAAAAATGATGAAGGTTGAACCATTGGATTCTCTCCCATTATTTCCTAACAAAACAGAATCTGATGGGCAGCAGTTTACAGACAAAGCTTGTAATTCTCAGGTACAGTCAACAGTGAATGTCAATCAGAAAGCTCATCTTGTGCCCCAGGCCTCCTTTCCACCTAACCAGTGTGCTAATGTGATGGCTATTGATGACCAAACACGGTTTCAAGAAGATATTCAAGAGCATCTTGTGCATCAGAGACTGACAACATTGCCTGGTGTCTGTTATGAGACACCCTTACCAGACCCTGCACATATTCTCAGGAATGTTAATGCAGGAAGTTCAGGAGGAATTAGAGTGGTTTCTATCAAAACTGAAGAGACGGTCTGTTCATCTAGTGTTGAAACATTAGATTTTTCACTGGCAGACAGTGTACAGACAAATTTTAATTATGCCGTGAACTTTCTTAGTAACCCTGCAAAAAAATTGGCGGCTGCAACAAAAGAATCAGAAGCTCCGGCTTGCAACTGTCTTGGTAAGTGCTTGTATAGACGTGTTCTTTCTTCTGCAGAAATGGTCACACATCCTGACAGATTCAATGAATCCTGTCTGATTCATTGAATAATATTCTTTCCCCCATAGGTAAGGTGGACTAAATAATTCTCTACCCATTTTTCTGTTAGACATTTAATCCATTCTGCTGAGAAAAGACAGATATTTCAACTCATAGTGCAGAAAAGTAAAGGTAAACTTTCTCTCCAAGCAAATGTCTCAAGTTGCTCGACATGATGGCACAGACCTATAATCCCAGGGAGTGAGAGAGGAGGATTACAAGTTCAAGGCCAGCCTCAGCAATTTAGTGAGACCCTATGTCAAAATAAAAAAGGTCTGGGAAGTTGGTAAAGGATTCTGGGTTAGATTCCTCAGAACAACATCAAAAAAAAAAAAGGTCTCAAGTTTAGTGTCATAGCCTTAGAAGGATTTCTTTAATACTTTATTAAAGACTAATTGTTCTCCCAATATTTAGAAGAATTTTGACTTAAGAGGATTTCATTAAAAACTTTTTCTGGTTAGCTAGTAGGTGCATACAGAGAATATATAGAACTTAACAAATAACTATACAAAGTCTCATCCACTTAAGAATGGTTTATTTCTTTTTCAGCCAGGTTCTACTGCTTCTCTATTTTGCAATTGAAAATGTGTATCCATGTATTAAGAAATTCTTTTATGTTAGTTACTGCTAGAATTCATAAATCTTTTTGAGTTTTAATCTATTTTAATACTTATTCTGCAGATATTAGTTTTCTATTTCAGTGGATAAGTTTGTCCTAATGGGGGGGGGGTGTCACAGTATATTTTGTGCCTGAGGAGTCATTGAAAGAGAATATTGAGAAATTAATAATTTTTTTTATTAGTACTAGGCATTGTTAGTAATGATGCTTATCATTGAGCCACATCTCCAGCCCTTTTAATTTTTTATTTTTTCACAGAGTCTCACTAAGTTGCTTACGGCCTTGCTAAATTGCTAAGGCTGGCTTTGAACTTGCCATCCTCCTGCCTTAGCCTCCCTGAGCTGCTGAGATTATAGGCATGTGCCACCACACCAAGCTTCATTTTTTAAATTTTATTTTATTTTCTGTTGTGGGACAGTGTCTCACTAAATTGCCCAGGTGGCCACTTAACACCTTCTGCTTCAGCCTCCCAAATTGCTGGGATTGTAGGCATGCACCACTACATGGTTCTTCTTCTTTTTTTTTTTTTTAAAGAGAATGTATTTATTAATTTATTTAAAGAGAGAGTGAGAGAGGAGAGAGAGAGAGAGAGAGTTTTTTTTTAATATTTATTTTTTAGTTCTCGGTGGATACAACATCTTTGTTTGTTGGTATGTGGTACTGAGGATCGAACCCGAGCCGCACGCATGCCAGGCAAGTGCGCTACCGCTTGAGCCACATCCCCAGCCCCACTACATGGTTCTTAACAATTACTTTTATCTGTGGTTAAAAGGCCTGGTGTAGGGCTGGGGTCATGGCTCAGCAGTGGAGTGCTTGCCTCGCTTTTTTTTTAATTTTTTATTTTTTTTATTGGTTGTTCACAACATTACAAAGCTCTTGACATATCATATTTCATAGGTTAGATTGAAGTGGGTTATGAACTCCCAATTTTACCCCAAATGCAGATTGTAGAATCACGTCGGTTATACATCCACAATTTTACATAATGCCCAATTAGTAATTGTTGTATTCTGCTACCTTTCCTATCCCCTACTATCCTCCCTCCCCTCCCCTTGCCTCGCATTTTTGAGGTGCTGGATTTGATCCTCAGCACGACATAAAAAATAAATAAACAAAATAAAGGTATTGTATCCATCTACAACTTAAAAAAAATTAAGAAAAGTCTTGCTAGGGTTAAGATTCTTCAGTAGTTCTTTAGAAATTTGCTTAGTATTTGAATCAAATACTTAGTATTTGAATCATGTGAAAGCTTAATTTGACTCATTGATTAGTCACTGTGTTCAAATTTCACGTAAGCACTCAAATATAATAAATCCATTGATCTTGGGTGTGGTGATGTGTGTTTGTAATCCCAGTGAATCAGGAGTCTCAGGCAGGAGGATTTCAAGTTTCAGGCCAGGCAATTTATCCAGTCATTGTCACAAAATACACAGAGATTTGGTTGTAGCTCAGTGGTAAAGCACCACTGATTTCAATCTACTGTACTAAAGGGAGAGAAAAAGTAATCAGTAATCATAGATGGGGGGAAAAAAGAGATTAAATAGATCATGTCATTATAGTTTCTTAATCTTCTCATTAAAACCCCTTATTTCAGTGATTATAGAATTGTAACAGGACAGAATTTGTGAAAGAACTTGTTTTGAACTCCATCTAAATAGGTTTAGTTATTAAAACAGTCTCACTTAAATTATGGCCCAAATGTTGGACATGATGGTACATCCCTGTGATCTCAGGGAATCTGGGAAGTTGAGGCAGGAGAATCACAAATTTGAGGCCAGGCTTGTCAACTTTGTGATCCTGTCTCAAAATATAAAATAAAAAGGGCTGGACATGTGACTCATTTATAGATGGCTACTGGGTTTACAACCTTGTGCCAGGGTACCCTCTTCTGGGAAGCACTGCACAGTCTGAAGAGTTGAACTGAAACATAGATGTCTTCATTCATTGCCAGGGATTGAACCCAGTGGCACTCAGCCCCTTGGCCATATCTTCAGCCCTTTTTTATATTCTATTTAGAGACAGGGTCTGGATGAGTTGCTTAGGGCCCCCCTAAATTGCTGAGGCTGTCTTTGAACTCCGGACCCTCCTGCCTCAGCCTCCCAAAGTGCTGGTATTATAGGCATGCCTGGCTGAAACTAAGAGAGATTCTTATACTAAGGAAAGAGAATAGTTTAACAGTGGTAAATGGTTCACCATCTGTAGCTCCTACTATGAGTCTGGTTCTATGCCATGTCTTCTAAAATTCACAACATTCTTGCATAGAGAATACTTATTATCAATTTTTACTATTTTACAAATGAGGAAATTTGGGACCCAGAGATATTCACAATTTGAAAGTGACTGAACTGGGATTAGGAGACAGGCAGTGTCAACTAGAGCCCATTCTTATAATCTCTACTGTCTCTTTCTTCAAAAATCCAAAGAATAAGAGGAAGAATGTGTTTCTGTGTATAATTACAAATGGAAAAAAAGGCCAGCAATTCAAAAAATCAATATATAACCTGTACAAGTCTTGTTTAATTGTATGGATGGTTCTAATAGATGGTGGTCTTTTTTCAAGACCCTTTCCTCATGCAAAGTAAGCAGTCACAACCAAGTATTAAACTATGGTATACACTGTCACATCTATGTCTAATCGTTTACCTCTGAGGGTACTGTGCTCACACGTGTAGGATGACCAAGTAGGATCATCAAGTAAGGCAGGGTAATGGCTTTCCTTCAGGGGCATTATTTTCTAGTGAAGTGTAGTAATAGGTATCTAGTGTTTCTCAAATTTAACACTATTATTTATTTGGTGGTACTAGGGATTGAACCCATGGCATTGTGCATCTAAACAAGCCCTCTACCACTGAGCTATATCCCAGCCCGAATTATCAGCATTTTAGAACACAGGAGGCTGTCCTGTGCATTGTGGGATTTGATTTTTTTGGAGGGAGCACCTAGCATTAGCTAATGCCCTATCTACAACAAATTTGGGCCAAGTTTCTAGTTTTTTTGGGGGGGCAGGAGATTGAACTCAGGGGCACTCAACCACTGAGCCATATCCCCAGTACTATTTTGTATTTTATTTAAAAACAGGGTTTCGGGGGAGACTGGGGTTGTGGCTCAGTGGTAGAGCACTCATCTAGCCCTTGCAAGGCCCTGGGTTCGATCCTCAGCACTACATAAAAATAAATAATGGTATTGTATCCAACAAAAAAATAAATATTAAAAGAAAAAAAAAGGACAAGGTTTCACTGCATTTCTTAGCACCTTGCCATTGCTGAGGCTGGCTTTGAACTCTGGATCCTCCTCCTGTCTCAGCCTGTGGAGCTATTCACTGGATATTAGTGCTACTGTGCAGGACTAACACACAAATCAAAGATGCAGATATTCCCCAGTGATTCTAGTTATACATGATTTTAAATCAGAAGTATGTAAATATCTTTTTCTGTTCTCTGAGAAAAAAAATCCCTGTTATACTTTTCTATATGAATAAACATTATTGCTGATTTTTATTTTGTCTCTGGTTTGAATGTAGGTTTTTCAAAGCACCACTTTGCAACTTGCTGTTTTAATTTTATAGCTTTTAAAATTTTTTTAGCTTTTTAAAATGTTTATACATATTATTTTTCAGTAACTTTATTATATTCTATATAAACTTCCTATGATTTATTTAACTTATCATTTGCTGGGATTTTTGTTAAGGTTGGTTCCCTTTTTTGATACTATTGGTAATTGTAGCAAGGAACATTCTTGTATATATATATATTTTTTTTTTTTTAGAGGTAGAGAGAGAGAGAGAGAATTTTAATATTTATTTTTTAGTTCTCGGCGGACACAACATCTTTGTTTGTATGTGGTGCTGAGGATCGAACCCGGGCCGCACGCATGCCAGGCAAGCGCGCTACCGCTTGAGCCACATCCCCAGCCCCATTCTTGTATATTTCCAATCTAAATACATAATTGTGTGTGAAGTAAGATAAGTTCTTAGTAGGGAAATTGATAGGCTCAATTTTAAAAGGAATTGAGGTCAAGCTTCTCAGACCTATCAGTCTTGGATAAGTTTTAATTTGTGCCTTAGTTATAATTTTTTTTTTTTAAAGGAGGAGATCAGATAATAAAAATGACCCACCCCATCCTCTGATGGTTTAAAAAAGAAAGAAAGAAAGAACATTAGGAGCAGGAAAACCTCGCTGACTAAGATCTTGAAAAGATTCATGGTTCTGAATTAAAACAAAAACAAAGCAAAAATAGTAAAAGAGCTCCTTGCCCCTATGAAATTTTGTAAGGCTCTGGGTCTAATAATCTTATTCCTTCCGCAGATCGAGGTATACAAAAAGACAAAGGCCCATATTATACACACCTTGGGGCAGGACCAAGTATTGCTGCTGTCAGGGAAATCATGGAGAATAGGTGAGGAAATTTGTTTCCCTGTTAAAATCATTCTTTATTGTGGACCTGACTCAATGCAGATAAGTTTATCTCTGGGAATAAATATGAGGTGAATAGAGAATTTTGAGGAGTTGGATGTTTGTTAGGGCTCAGAAGAAAAATGCCCATATGTTCTCCTGAGTCCTCCTTATGAGTTGCTGGGTGCTTAAAAAGACTCTCAGGAAGCAAGGCTAATTGTCTATAATTAATTCAGGAATCCTTATTCATATATATATTATATAATGTTAGAACAGTTCAAATTAACACTGCGAACATTAAGTTAACCCTGAATTCCCGTTGCTTGACTTGGACTCAGTTTAAGGATCAGTAAGAAGAACTATGAAATAGAAATAGAAATGTCTGCCACATAAAAGCAATTTTTTGGCAAAAGTAAATTTATGAGGAGTGTTTGATTTTTTTTTTTTTTTAACTTCTGTTCATCTCTATCTCGTGTGCACATAGCAATTAAAAACAAATTGTTTCAAGTGTAGATTGTAGTTAATTAGTGTATTCCCTCCACTCTGCTTTGTAATAGGTATGGCCAAAAAGGAAAGGCAGTAAGGCTAGAACAAATCGTATACACAGGAAAAGAAGGAAAAAGCTCTCATGGGTGTCCGATCGCTAAGTGGGTAAGTACTTGATATTTGGAAATGTTTGAAAATACAGGTGTTAAATGCTTTTTGGGGGCGGTCCCATGAAAGCTTGGATCAGAAAAATAGCCACAAGGTGATAACAAGGCAGTTGTCTCTTTTTGCCTGTTTTGCATTTTATTGCTAGATGTATACCTTTAGAATATTGAACACTTGTCATTTTTATTTTAAACAACCAGTTTTTTTTTTTTTTTTAAACAAACCAGTTTTCCCTCAGAGCTTTTAAAAAGTTTTGTTCTCAGGCTGGGGATGTGGCTCAAGCGGTAGCGTGCTCGCCTGGAATGCGTGCGGCCCGGGTTCGATCCTCAGCACTGCGTACAAACAGAGATGGTGTGTCCGCCGAAAAAAAACTAAAATAAATAGATAAATTCTCTCTCTCTCTCTCTCTCTCTCTCTCTCTCTCTCTCTCTCTCTCTCTCCCTCTCTCTCCCCCTCTTCTCTCTTAAAAAAAAAAAAGTTTTGTTCTCCGGTGTTACATGTTTCTTTTCCAGTTTACTTGCCTTGTGTATCTCAGCTACATATTCTCTATAGTAATGAATTTATATTCTATCAATTTTATTCTATGAATTTATTTCTTCAGATACAGTTAGCTAGTCCATCAGATAACTTCAATTTTATATTGATTTGATGGTGATGGTTTTATCTTGTTTCTGTTTCAGCTGTGATCCTTCTGGGATTTTCTTATTAAGTATAGGTCATCCTGGCAGGTTTCTCTGGAGAGAGAATATTGAAACTGAGAATTGAGTGAAGTTGGGCTTGTAGGGAACTGAATCAGGAGGATCACTTGAGCCCATTCTGAGCAACAGAGAGATACATCCTTTTTCCAGAAAAAACTATAGAGTGCGGGATGGAGTTTAGCTCAGCGCTAGAACACTTGCCTCATACTTGTGAGGCACTGGGTTTGATTCCTAGCACCACATATAAATAAGTAAATAAAATAAATGTCCATCAACAACTAAAAAATATTTTTAAAAATCTATAGATTGAGCTAAAGAAAGAGGCAAACTATGCAGAATAAAATACTCCCAAGAATGTAGGGAAGAGCATTCCTAAGCCCAGAAACAATAAGAGAAAAGGTCTTAGATAAAGAAAAAGGGGACATTGAGAGAAAAAAAAAAATGCCAGGTGATGGTGAAAAGATGGGCAGATGCTAGATCATGAGTGTTTTTTCAGCCATAGTGAGGAGTTGAGGTTTTATTCTATGAGCAATAGAAAGCATTTGAAGCATTTTCAGATAGGGGTAAGCTATCTAGTTTCTAAATAGTAGTCTAAGGAATTCATTGGTAAAGTGTATATGAAGATATGTTGATGCTTAACAGATTACCTGAAAACCTGTGGTATCTCTGAACAACAATTATGTTCTTTTGTGGGTTGGGAATTCAAGAGCAGTTGACAAGGGTGCTTTTTGGCAGAGGGTGTCAGGAGGTTGTAGTCATCTGGAAACTTAACTACTGAAAGGAGTGTGCTATAGATGCAGAGTCACTTCCAGACTCCCTGTTTGAGGCCATAGGTATTTTTTGTTTGTTTGTTTGTTTGTTTTTGTTGTTGTTTTTTTGGTGGTGCTGGGGATCAAACCCAGGGCCTTGTGCATGCAAGACAAGCACTCTACCAACTGAGCTATATCCCCAGTATATATATCCTTGATGGCTGTTGGCTGGAGGCCTCAATTCTTCATCATAGAACTGTTTAAATATTCCCTTGGCCTGGAAAGTTAGTTTTACATGCACCCGCACCCTGAAATAAAAGGGCAAAGAGGGTAACCTATGATGTCTTCATGGTGCCTATGTAGATCAGTGCTGTTTGGTGGACAGGAAAATGTAAGAGCACAAATATCAGGAAGTAGTGAACTTTGGGGCCATCTTAGAGACTGTCAAGCACAAAATCAACATCCATTCTTCAATAAAAATAAATAAGTTACACTACATTGAGCTGGATGTGGTGGCACATGCCTGTAAAACTAGCTACTTGGGAAGTGGAAACAGGTGAATCACAGGTTAAAGGCCAGCCTCAGCAACAAAGAGAAGGCCTAAACAATTTAGTAAGAACCTGTCTCAAAATAAATTTTTCACTGTGCGATGCTCTGGAGGTTGAGACAGGAGGATCAAAGCTAATCTTAGAAAAATCTACTCAGTGAGACCCTGTCTCTCAAAGTAATACAAAATAGGACTGAGGGTGTGGCTCAGTGGTTGAGTGTCCCTGAGTCAATCCCTGGTACCAAAAAAGTGGGAGGGGTAGGGATGTTGCTCAGCAGTTAAGCTCCCCTGGATTCACTCTCTAGAACCTCTCCTTCTTCCCTGCCATAAAAAGAGCACTATATTGGCATATTAAATTTTGTTTATCTTATTTGTATCTTCTCTAAATGGCTAATGCTTTCATTTTTTGAATATTATATCATAATGCTCTTAAAGATCAATGCTGTTCATTATGGAATATGTCGAGCAAAGTTTATAAAATGTAAGAATATGATTTGTCCATAATTATAAAAAGAAGTCAGTTGTAATGGAATTGCTATAATCTCAGCTACTGGTGAGGTGAGACAGGATGATTACAAATTGAAAGCCAGCCTAAGAGGCCCTGTCTAAAAGACTCTTCTTGGCTGGGGGAAAGCAAATAGCCTGTTGTTGTAAACTGCCCATGGAGACTTCCATGGCAGGGAACTGAAAGCAATCTCAAGTTGCTCTAGAGAGTGGTTCCTGACTAACAGCTACCAGGAAAAGAGGAGCCTCAGTCTTTTTTTTTTTTTTTTTTTTTAAGAGAGAGAGAGAGAGAATTTTAATATTTATTTTAGTTTTCGGCAGACATAACATCTTTGTTTGTATGTGGTGCTGAAGATCGAACACGGGCCGCATGCATGCCAGGCGAGCATGCTACCACTTGGGCCACATCCCCAGCCCCGGAGCCTCAGTCTTAGCAATGAAAGAAACTAAGGGTTTATAACAGCCAGAGAGCCTTAGATAAGAATCAAAGCCCCTTGGATTTCAGCAGCTAACACATTGGACTTCTCACACTTGGAAAGTGGGATAACATGTTTGTGTTGCTTAAGTTCTTAAATTTTTGTTAATTTGTTATACAGTAATAGAAATCCAACATAAGTGGCATTATTTTTTGCTTTGTTAATTATCTTCATTTATTTGTTTTTATGTGGTGCTGAGGAGCAAACCTAGTGCTTCACTGGTTCTAGGCAAGCATTCTACCACTGGGTCAATGAAAGGAAATACTTTGAGACACTCAGCCCTGATACTCAAAAAGTGTGTCCACAATGAAGCACAGATCCTGGTAGAAGAAAGGAGATTTACTATTGTTGAGTTCTTGTGCTCTGGGAACTGAGAGCTCCCAGGGAACGAGAATGATCCTATCTATCTATTTATCTATCTATCTATCTATCTATATATATATCTATACTCCTTTATAAAGAAGCCCTTATAAGTTTAGTTTTCTGGGCCCCAGGAAGCCTTTGGGTTCAACAGGGCATACAAGTATTCTAGATTTGGGATACTGAAGGTATTGGAAGGGATTGGGTGAGATAATCACGAAGTTAAAATAATAATAAAAAGAACTGGGGATATAGCTCAGCATTCTAGTGCTGTCCTCCCCCTGCAAAAATGTGTGTGTGTGTGTGTGTAAATGAACAGTCATGAAACAGCTACCCAAGTTAAAAATAAACATTGTTGGAGCTAGGGTTATAGCTCAGTGATAGAGTGCTTACCTTGCACTTGTCAGGTACTGGGTTCAAGCCTCAGCGCCACATAAAAAATAAATTAAATAAAGGCATTAAGAAAAAAAGAACATTATTACATTCCCAAAAGCTCCAATGATAAATCTTCCCTAGCTTTTGTGATAATTTATTTTTAAAATTCTTTTTAGATATACATGGCAGTAGAATGTATTTTGACACATCACACATACATGGAGTATAACTTCCCATTCTTGACAAGAGGTTGAATATGATGTGGAGTTTCGCTGGTCACATATTCATATATAAATATATTTGAATATAGGAAAGTTATGTCCAATTTGTTCTAATTTTTCTGGTTCCTTTTCTGGACACCTTCACCTTATGTTTTCTAATAGTTTTGTTTTTATCTTGCCCCTATGTTTCACCTTGTTCCTTTGCTAAAATAGATGGCAGGGATTAGTTCCCAATATGTAGCACTGGTAATTGACATATTCATTTAGTTGCATCTGCTAGTTATTTCTGGATCCATTACTTATTTGCCTAGTAAGTAGCAAGGAGTAAAAATATCTCTTGAAATGGCAGCTGTCTTCCCCCGTAATGCGTAATTAACCCAAGGTAGTTCAGTTATATGATAGGGTTTTGTATGATTTCTCCTTCGTGACTTCTAAACCTCTTCTCATGTAATAATAATAATGACACTAACAGAATTGCAGTATGTCTGTATGTTTAAGACAAAATTTGAATCTCATTGTTCATAGAAACTTCTTGTAACACTCTGAGTTATTAGGTACAAAGTGTATTTGTTCAGCATTTTCCATGAATCTCAGGTATAGATAAATTGCTTTCTTTCTTTTCTTTTTTTTAGAGAGAGAGAGAATTTTAATATTTATTTTTTAGTTCTCGGCAGACACAACATGTTTGTTTGTATGTGGTGCTGAGGATCGAACCCTGTCCGTACGCATGCCAGGCAAGCGCGCTACCGCTTGAGCCACGTCCTCAACCCGGCTTTCTTCTTTTGTCTTATGTGATATTTCCTTTTTTCTTCCTAGAACAAAAGAACATCTCAGTATAGTGTAGTAGTATATCTCCAACTTTTCATAAATACAAAAATAATTTAGAGAGAAGGAATAAAATAAAATTCTGTTGCTGAGTGACTTAATGAGTGAAAGTTTTAATATCTTTTAATGACCATTCAGTAATAAAAACTTGGGCTTGGGATGTAGTTCCATGGTAGAGACCTTAACTAGCGGGGGATGCACCCCCCCAAAAAAAATCATTTTGATAATAAAAACAGTTATTGATG